CACACACACACACACACACACACACACACACCGCTGTCTAAGCCTCTTATAGTAACCCAGTCTGTTTGGGTGTCCGTGCTTGCATGCTCCCACAAGTAAATGAAGAGAAAGTAAGTAACACATTTAGAGAGCATCTACTCTCGCATGTTGAAATGCATTCAAATAGCGGTGCTTTATTTTATGTGCATTCACTAAAGTTACTGAGTTACAAAAGTCTTTCACCAAACACACGCCTGTTATATCTGTATTATTTTTTTTTTTTACAAAGTACATAAATGTTTGTAAATAAACAATCATGGAGTGACATTATGTGTCACATCTTCTGTCCTCCTCATCAATCTGTTTTGCTTATGACCTTCTCACACATGTAGTGACATCAGACGCACCAACCTACTCACTCGTCACCCACCTCACCCCCGCAATAATGTGGGTCGGCGTGACTGTCGGCATGTGCGTGTGTGTGTGTGTGTGGGGGGGGGGGCGGTGCTTGTGACCGCCTGACCAGCTTGGTCGCCAGCAGCAATTTTATTCCCCCCCTCCATTACTTCAAGTTCATGCACATCACATAAACACTTCTGCCCTCCTTTCACATGTGATATGTTCCTTTCATGCCCTCTTAACCCGTATTTCCACCTTGCTGCTTGTCTTTTGAAAATCATAATACCATGGACCGAAGCAACGAAAACATTAGTTAGTCATTCTTCACGTTGAATTGTGTTTTCCCTGCTTCGTCTGTGTCATTGCCAGTCTGCATCAAGAATGTTGTTATTGTTGCTCTGCACAGTGATTCGGGTTGCCGGGTAGATTTTGACTCCCTGGGGCAACAGTAGACAGTAATGTCCCAAGCTTTCATTACCTCTACATAATTTGATGTAATGAATATTTAAAACTACCCTGCAATAATTAAGAAATCGTTTGTCAACTTTGATTTTGGAGTAACAACATACGCACATAAAAGTGATTTTTTGCTCCAAGGAGTCAGGGGTTCATGAATGTGGTTATGATCTACAGCTGACACATCGTGAGCCAGAATCCAGGTTCACATACTGGGCATAGAATTTGAGCATCTTGTTGTGGTTTGAAAGTTGGTAAGGTGTTGCAGTTTACCACTCTTGATGGATGCTAAAATTACAAGTCACGGTAACTAACTTAATAACACGAGAAGTTGTACCAACTATGGTCAGACGACTGGATTAAACGTAATCTATCAGCACTGTATTGGATTGAGACATGATGTGCAGTGATCCATTAGAATAAAGAAAAACAATCAGTGTGTAATAATGTACAGTACTGTAAAGTACTCTGCACAGCAATAATGGACCGAGCGTGCGAGTGAGCATGTCGTGCAGACACGCCTTTGTTTGCAATGGCTCATCCTAAATCTGTGCATTCATATACTGTATGGACATGAATGTGTGTGTCCGTGTGTGGGGGGGCGTGGGCATGTGTCTGGTGAATTCTGGGTCACAATAACAGCTGGGGGCGCACTGCCTAGACATCAGGACTTGATTGGCTGCCCCAGAAGGGCTGCCCTTGCATTGGTTGCAATTCTTCTACAGCTACCATAGTAACAGAAGTGTAAACACAAACAGTTTGTTGTTGTATTTGTGCACCTTTTGGGTTTGTGCATTTCTACCTTTTCAGACCTTTTCTCTTTAGGAAGGTATCCATGGGGGGGGGGGGGGGGACTGGCAACAAATTATTTTCTGATGTTTCAGCATCTGCCAATGTGCCCTTTCCACTCTGACTAGACTGTTATTCAGACTGTGAAAGTCTGTTCATCAGAACACAAAGACGTATTGAGACAATCTCCCCCAGCCCAGACAGGGATTAGGACAGAGACCTTCTCTAACATCATCCACTCTTAGGGATGAAGGACTCCAGGCGGGGGAGAAAAATCATTCATACACACAGCAACATGAATTCATGACACACTTTGAACAATGGGAAAACATTTTTAGTAGAAAGAGCAGACTGTACCAGATGCTATATCAAACACATTTTAAAACAACCACCACATTTGACAAAATAACTCAGAAAACTCACTAATTTGACATTACCGCATACATAATATTTACGCACTCTTATGATACAGCGAATATTGAAAAATAAACCGTGATGATGATTATTTCGGGGAATATGGTGAAAACATCAGTAAGTGGAGTGTGGCGGAACACATAAGAACAACATATTGAGCCATATCATAATGAGACTTAAGGTGTCTACGATGCACACACACACTTTCATCCTGACACACACGCAGACTATATATATATATATATATACCCTATATAAATACAGTCACCCACACAAACAGACGTTGAGTTGCACCTTCCAGGATAACAAGATCTTGTTAACTGTGTTCCAGCAGCTTGAATGTTCAAAATGTTCCCTCTTTGCCAGGTACACACACACACACACACACACACACACACACACACACACACATTCTAACATAAACATGCACACACACGTACATTTCCAATTTCTGCTTTGTAGCCGCAGAGTATAAGACGGTCGGCTACAGACTTTAAAAACTCATTGAAGAAAAGCTGCATGAAGGCTTGGACATCCCTTAAATCACAACCACAGCTCCTTGCTCACAAATTCCAGTTCATTGCAGCATGTAAGTTAGTGTTTTCATTTCGAAACGTCGTGACGGTTGCCAAAGTAACTGATCTGTATTGTTATTGTAGGAACTGTTATGTGAACCTTACCCCAACTCTCTACTTATTGGATGACACTCCAGCAAATAACACTCAACTCATTCATACCAATATCAGCCGCTCACAAAATATAGTGAGGGAGAATATACATGATTTCTGCACCTGTGTTTAGCGAAGCTTTATTCCTCTTCTGCTCAAATGTCATATAATGCGGTATGTAAAAAAAATTGTCTATATTCATTTTTATTTGCTTATATATATAAATTATCCAGCAGCTGTAAAAGCAAACCCACCATCATGCCACCTGCCAGTAAATATACACTTTGCGGGAAGAGTGTTAGAAAGCAGAAAATACTGTTTTCACACTGAACGTGCGCTCGCACATGGCCTGACTGAACACTTAATAGCGATGCGCACGTCCTCTATATGTTGTTTCTTTTTATTGCTAGTCTGTGAAGATGAAACTCTCGAAACACCCGAACCACATTTGTCTACTTTTCGGAGAAGTGAACTGCTTTGTTCACTGACTGACATTCACCAGACTTCCACGAAGGTGGCATGGGCTCAGGTATTCAAAGATGGATGGTGTGAATGTGGGTCAGTGGTTCTCTCAATGGGATTGACGGGTGACCAGTCCATTGTGTAGTCTGCCTTTCGCTGAAAGTCACTTGGGACAGACTGTAGGTCCACCAGGCCCAATATGGAAAAGCACTACACTGGAGGAAATGGATAGATTTTGATTTTGATTTGAAAAAAATTATTGAACATAAATTTAACATAAATCATATACAGTAATAATTTGTCAGAAGGTAAGGTAAGTAGAATCGTAAAAAGGAAAGAGAAATCAGTCATCATTCAACACAGTTATTATGTTCAAGGGAGTAGGAAGAAGTAAAAAACTTATCGAGTCCTACCCCGTAGATGTATCAAAAAACTGAATCAGAATCTTCTTTATTTGCCAAGTATGTAAGACACACATGGACTTTGTCTCGGGTAGTATAGGCTACACTAGTATTGCAATAACAAGCAACTACAATAAACAAAGACATGACATGTAAGTATCGAAAGATTTTCGATAATGTAAGAGTACCATTGTGCAGGAGCACCACCCAATGACCGCTGGGTGATAACATGCAGTCATCGAGCAAAGATCATTGGTGAAATACGATACTAATGTGATTGTGCAATACGTGTATATAAATTTTAAGTGACCCGTAGCACTAATTGCAGTGCAACTTAAGGATACATTATTGTACAGTATTGCTGTTGTATCCCATGGATACAAATGGACAACATAACACTTAAAACATAAAATAAAATAAAATCTGCTTTGACTTATGATATTCTTGTGTAAACTGCAAAGTTGCACATATCGGCGCCAACAAAATTCCACAGAAGCATGTGTCATTATAAAATGATCCAGGGCGCCACACCATGTGATCTTCACCTCTGCGGTGAACAATTGCAACATTGTCATGTAAGGACCGCAGACTCTGAGCGTGAACCCAGACACTCATCCTAAAGTCGACTGAGGGCAATCGAGTGCCAAAAGACACATACAGAACAAATCCCTACGGCCTGGCGGCCGAAAGTGAGACGCATCCGTGTAGACGAGCGCACGTGTTGCGTTAGTAACCTCAGCCCGCCCAGTGTGTGACAGTGTCTCTCTGGGCTCAGGACTCAATTAAACAGGCGTGTGCGGAATGCTTTCAGGGAGAACGGAACGAGATGGCTGAAGACACGATGTGCCCCTTTGTGTGTCTCACTTGCCGTTCATTTCAATTGGTCTTGCTTTGGCTGACCCACGGCAGCGTGAAGGGGATCTCTATCCCCAGCACACACAAATAAGACGTAACGTTCAGACAGACAGAGGGCCATTGAGGGCAAGAGGTCTCGCGTGGGTAGTCCAAAGGGGTCTCAAGGGTCCCCTGCTAAATCAGTCTTTACCTGCTTACGATCGAGCATGACATCTGGGGGACAAATTAGGTCTGGTCACCTAATGGAGCATGGTGGCTCTCCTATGACTGACTAAGTAGTGACATCGTCAGGGTTAGCCTGCTTTCAAAAGTGCACTACGCAAGATTTGGGCGTGGGTCACGGGGATAAGACCCTCTTTGAAGGAGTTAAATACTCCAAACACAGATTTAGGTTTGAGTTACACAGGAATGTTCACACCTGACCATGGAGATTGGATTCTGCTCTCCTTTTCTGTTTTATATTTGCTTGTACTTAAGCAGACTACACCCATGGAGATTTTTCACATCTTAACTTTGAACGCAAATTTGGTGTTAACTACCCACGTAAAGATGCGTGATCATAAATAATGAACGGGTTTAACATTTGCAATTATTAAATCCAGAGTGAGGGAGGGCGGGGACTTTTTTTTAAAACACACCCCACACCAGAGATGATCAATCTCTCTGGATAATCTTTGAGCGACATTCATCAATCAGGCCTTTGCTGACTTTGATCCAAAAGATGGGAACCGGATTAGTGGTATGCATGTGCCTCACTTAAATCAATAAATGCTGACTGTCACTTTATTGCTTTAGCGGTAGTCTATGTTAGACAGTCCATTAAGCTCAAAGCACAGAGTTTTGAGTCCTCATATGCTTGCGTGCCATAACACACATCCATCAGGCCCAAAGTCAGTAGACCATCCATCCATTATTACATAACCACTCAAGAGTTGTACGCGTGTTAGGGTTCTTTGCAAAAACATCGTTCACTTCCAGAAAAGTAATAAATCAACATAAAGTTCAATTAATGTACTGAAATGTTTTCCTCGTTCCTGTTACTTTCACAGCACAACATTTATCTTTGAGGAATTTGGATTTCACCTAACGACCTGCGTTGAGTTTAATCATGACATCTCCTTACCAGTTTTGAAAATTTCGTAGCGGAGTGAGAAGCCAGCCCCCTGGTGGGCATAGTCAGACACAAACTTGATGTGGAGGGCGGGTCCGGATGATATGATTGGTGCTGGGGCAATGTTGCTGCAGTGCTTTCCCAATAAGTCGGCTGATTCAGAGTTGCCGTCGTGGATTTCGACATAGTCATACCTGCAAAGGACAGAAAAAAAAATGAATTGAAGAATATCACAAACACTAATGTGACATACTGGTGGGCAGAGTTGCGCCCGTCTGACACATTCAGTGACCATATGAACAGATAATGTTCCCATTTATTGGAATGATAACATCAGTGGCCTCAGTGCAACATCTCCGTTGAATTCAGGCAGGAGTTAAAAAAAAAAAAGCTTCTATGTATTTGAATGGAATTTTCACTGTCAGCAGAGCTGCGGTTGTGTTATTTCACCTGCAGGGAAGATATATAATTCAAGCATTCCATAATCAACACCACAGTACACAAATTGGAAGTGCTGTACAACAAACTGATCCAGTACATAATAAAATATGAAATCTTTCAATGAGTACAAAAAGCACGAAAACTTGCTCGAAAAGTAGGAAACGTATTGCAATTCCATCCTTGTCTCTCTAATACTACCATCCATCCATCCATCCATTTTCTGATTCACTTTATCCTCACAAGGGTCGCGGGGCATGCTGGAGCCTATCCCAGCTGTCTTAGGGAAGTAGGCGGGGGACACCCTGAACTGGTTGCCAGCCAATCGCGGGGCACACAGAGACCAACAACCATCCACGCTCACGCTCACACATACGGACAATTTGGAGTGTTCAATCAGGCGGCCATGCATGTTTTTGGAATGTGGGAGGAAATCGGAGTACCCGGAGAAAACCCACGCAGGGGAGAACATGCAAACTCCACACAGGGAAGCCGGAGCTGGAATTGAACCTGGTAACTCTGCACTGTGAGGTTGATGCGCTAACCACTGGACTAACGGGTCACCGTCTCTCATACTACCCTATTTCCAAATTCCAGTGCTTATTTTCGTCAGTCAACAAAAATCCTATATTTAATTAAAAAAAAAAAAATCATAACAATCATTAGTTTTTTTCAGCAATTTAGGGTTGAGATAAGTCTCACAACAACTGCAGGTAATCCAATAGGAAAATAGTTACTGAAATGGAATTGTGACGATTGCATGGGAGGTATTTTTTTTTTAGTTTTTATTTTTTCATGATGCTTTCATAGTTGATCATGAAATCTCAATTCAGGTTTACAGTAGGAGATCTATCGGTTGTCGACAATCTTAGGAAGTGTTGCCGGTGGGGCGAAATCGATTTTGATTGCACTTCTTTGATTGTCATCTGAGCACAAAAAATGGTCTCCACGTGCAGACGCACAGCAGGAGTGTTGCCTCTGTGTCTGGACAACAGCCAGCTGGGTCACCTGCTTGTCTTCAAAATAGTGTCATGCCAACCAAATTCCTGCAAGCGGCTCGTCACCGGAGAAGACATCAAGTTGGATTGTGAGTTCAGTTAATTCCATTTTCACCAAGAGACTTCAAGACCAATTAAGTACATGTGGAGTCTATTTGCACATCTTTAGCGACTTTATCGATCAGTTTGAAACCGCAGTCATGTTAATTGCTCTTCGGTTGCACTTTTTACATCTCTCCAGCGTGATCAGTGAAGGAACCCGCGAAGAATGTCTGCCTTTATGCCATTATACAGGAGGAGATGAATCAATACCGCTTGCAAGCATGCAGTAACACGTGAGCATAAGACTCAGGAAATCTCTTGCGCAGTATTCAGTTTTTGCAATGCCGACATAGAGTAGGAAACGCGACAAGGCGTTTTCTTTCGTATTTGTCCTCATTGAAGTCACGGGGGCGGCCGTAGCCTAAATCACCTGACTTTTGACCAGAGGCCATCTCCACTTTTTCGTCATCATCAAAAACAAAAGGAAAAAGAAAACATCTCTGCCTTTTAAGCGCACTTTCCAATTGTGTGTGTTCGTTCTCTCACCTGTGTCCAATGTGTGTGTGTGTGTGTGTGTGTGTGTGTGTGTGTGTGTGTGTGTGTGTGTGTGTGTGTCTGCATTGTTCCTGACAGATGAGCAGCCGCTCAAAGGTTACGTGACTCCCACGCTCCCCTCATTTAAGGTGCCAACTGGCTGTGGAATATTTCACTGGTGACATGCTGTACAGTGTGTTTGTGCATGTGTGATGTTTGTCTTAAATCGACTTTTTATTGTTTATATACAAATGCTTGGGTCTCTGGAGTCAATGTCCAACCATCAAATGTAAAATTAAACAACTTAAGTAAATATTTTTTTGTGTGTGTTTGGCGATGTGTCTGCATATCTTAAATGTCGTTTACGGGCTACTGTGTTTGCCCATTTCGAACGTCTGATCATCTTTGGGCCCTATTTTTTTTCCTCCATGTGCTCCTCCAACGTGTTGTCAGCCACTCAAGACTCACCGTGGTGGAGAATCGAATGTGAGAAGCAGGATTCAAATTTAAGAACCCAGCATTTTGGAGTTATTTTTCCCTAATTTCCGACAAAGGAGAATTGCAGCAATTAAAGTGTGGGATACGGCCTTGTGTGCACCCGAGTCAAACTTATAATTAAGCTGTCCTCACCTACTTATTTTCAGCAGCAACACCGTGTGAGTGATGTTCTTTCTCATGGAAAGTAGCGAATTGTTGAGAAAGTTCATCACTGTTATACTCGACTGTGTCATAAAAAAATGGAGCGGATGCGTCATTCTAAATGAATTACAAGGCCTGTGGAAGTTATCGTACGCACGCACAAATCACCGCAATGACGTACATGAAAATATAGACATGTGTCTCATTGCAACTCCTTCTGCAGACATGAGGAAAATGCAAAATTTTGGCCCAAAAAAATATACACTGCATATTCTGGTAATTATTGAATTAAGGTGTCCAGTCATGACTTACCTTGATTCCAGGTCTTTGGACTGTTTGGGTCCACAATTTAGATTCTATTTGTCTTTGGATCGTACAGCTAGCATGCTACATATGTGCCAAGTTATAAGTGCCTGGAACTGCATCTTGCCTTTTTTTTTCTTCTGGAGTTGTACCCATTACAAACACAGGCACAATATCACTTGCTTATTAGTCGAGGTCAGGTCAGGAAAAAGCTTGTTTTTCATTGAATTCATTTTTGTCGTGGTGGATGCATGGATGGATGGATATTATATTCATCCCATGAGGGAAATTAAAGGGTCACAGCCACGATATTTACACATGTTAACAATAAATGGTGCAGAAGATTGAGATGTTGCGTGTTCAAGCAATAAATGGTGCAGAAGATTGAGATGTTGCGTGTTGGTATGTGATAATAAATACAGAGTAACTAGCAACTCTGCTCAGTCTTATTAGATGCATACACTGAGTGCCAAGCACAATGTGTAAAAGATTTGATGGTGACATACATCAATGTAATGATGAATACATGTACTGAATATGTACACTGTACTGAAAACGTCGACCTATGGGCATATTATTGACACATAATAGTTCATTTAAAAAAAAAATGGTATAGTTTTGCAAAAAAAAGGCTTGTTTGCGTGTTATCCTGCAAAATTGTGGACATGGCGTCATTTCAACAATGTGATGTTATGTCCGTCACTGAAATAACATCAAAATTGAAGAGGCCGTAAAAACTCGCGCCGCTTCGACACAGACTCCCATGACATCAAGGCAGGGATACGACAGAAAGCGACACCCTTCCTCCCGTACGAGACTTCCTTCGAAATGCAAAATACAAAGGCTGCCTTTCGAAATCCTGACGTAAGTTCCAAACAAAGAGAAAATGTTTACAGATTCAGCCATCAGAGAGTGGATGCGGTCGCTGAGAACCTGACACTGCATTCCCTCCTGTTGGACTGACAGCCACAGGTGGCCCCCACCCTCCCACTCGCTCCTCATCCTGCACTCCCCTCCCGCCGTTTGGCTCCGAGCCTTCAGTGAGGAGCCGACATCCGCATTTAAGTGAGCACTCGCACACACACACACACACACACACACACACACACACACACACACACACACACACACACACACATTGTAAACAAGGCACTGATACACGCACAGCGCCCGTGGCTTGCATGCATCCCATCGATGAGCTGGAGGTTTCCTTCAATCCGTTCTGTGTGGGAGGAACAGAGCTTCTAACACGCTGTTGAAATCCCATCATCGCTCTCTCTTTCCCTTTCGCTCTCTCCTTGCCCTCGACAAATCAAAAAAAAAAAAAGCAAATATTCCACAGAGCCAGCGGGTTTGTTACACAGACTTGCCGAAGGGAACGACGAGGAGTGGGAATTTGTTTCACACGTTTTCCTTGAAATTCATTGGTTATCAAGGGGTGTAAAAAAAGGATTTCGCTTGCTTGTAGGGAGGAAATGATGAAAAAGAAAAGCCAATTGCGTTTCCCAAGCATTTAAAGTACAGCGGCAATGACCTGCGGGATGCTGTAGATTACAAGATAGACAGAACATTTATATATATAAAAAAAAAAAAAATGGTGGTTTTGTGGTACGCTCTTCTTTCTAATGAGAGACCAGGAAAAGACAGGGGGAAAAAAAAACTGTCTTCAAGTTGTACTTTTTTTATTGAAGCATTAGTGTGTCTTTAGCAGTCGACTGAGTCTGGAGATACACATACAACGGCGCTCCCAAGCACGGTACGCATGTAGCGATAATCGGGCCAAATTTGAGCATTCCCCCACCAAAAGCGCTTCGATGTTTCTTAAAGACTTTCCTGACTGATTATCCTGAATCGAGTTGGAGTCGATTCAATCGTGACCCTGCAAAATAGGCTGTTCCAAAAACCTCTATAACTTGTCTTTCAACGTGAGCAGGTGTGAGATGATGGTTTTCCGAGGGTCTTTTCGAAATCTTCTGGTGTACAGGTGGCATTACTGAGGAAAACCACGATAGAAGACGGTCGGAAAATCAAGATCAAGCGTAGAGAAAAAGAGAGAGTTAGATCTAACTTCATTACTAAATACCAGTAACAATAATACAATTATAAACATGCACTTGAGCATGACTACAGTCACCAACCTTTTGTGGTTTTTGATATTTTTAAGAACGGGAAATGAAATCAGTCACATCACGGGTCAGCTGTCAGCCAGTAAGTGTAATGATGATATCATGCAAAGTGCGTTTGAAAGGAAGGCGAAAACAAGTTTAGTTGTCGCCCACATACTCAGATCCGAAAGTGTATCACAAATATTTGCACATATTTGGTTTGTTGGGAAAAAAAAAAAAACAACACATCACCTTGTTGTTATTACAAGTGCGTGTGTGTGTCTTTCCAACTTTGTTCAACTTTTACCCCCTGGACAATTAATCAATGCCTCATCATGGCTTTAACATATATCGATTGGGACCGTCCATCAAAATTACAGGAGGACACACACACACACACACACACACACACACACACACACACACACACACACACACACACACACACACCACAGCTATGGATCAGACAGGCCTTTGGGGCCTAAGGGAGTGTCTGAGTATCACGGCTCTGCATTCATGTGCGGCTGTGATCAGCTCTGGGCATCATGAGTGGGGATGCGGAAGAAGAAAAGGCCAGCAAAGGGACTTTTTTGTTACACACGGAATAGAAGGTTTAAGAGTCAGAAATGGTTGGGAAATGAATGATGTGGAAAGAGAGAGAAAAGTCTAAATATGCTCCGTTTTGTCATGCTTCCTGTTTTTCTGTGAAAGGAGGAAGGAAGGACTCGGGGCGGGGGGTGATTCACTTGGGGCCAATGTAGAGGACGAGGTGATGAAGAGAGAGATGTGCGGGGAAGTGCTGGCTGAATCCGATGGAAGATGATAGATGGGGTCGGTTTGATGGCGCTGATGAGGCTGGAGGGGGACGAAGGGTCAGATGAATCCAGGGAGGAGAAGGAGAGAGCCCGGGAGGGAGGGAGAGAAGGAGAGAGGGGGAAGCTGTCAGGAAGATTTGCGCCTGCCCTCAACAGACCCTGACGCTGCAGTTTTCCCTAAGCACTCAATGTGTGCGTGCATGAGCGTGTGCGCGCGCTCGCGCACACACACATACTCTTTTCCAAAGACTCCAAAAAGAGATCCAGCCTTCACAGACGGAGCCACGCAGTGGAGCCAAAAGGAAAATGTGAAGTAGACAACCAGCTGCTGTGTTGAAAGGCAGCATCGCCGCTCAAAATATGACGCCGGAGCAGCTCTTTAACCCTAACTGTCTCCGGGGTCACCTCATGAAGAATTGAATATCACTTTGTTGGCCAACTGTCACCTCATGAAGAATTGAATATCACTTTGTTGGCAAAAGAAATCTTTTCTTTTCCAGTTGTTTTGCAGAAACCTTTTATACACTTATGCCAGTTACGGCTCGGGAAAAAAAAAAAAAAAAAACTGATGACAGAGAGAATCTTGACTAAAATTTCCCCGAGATTCTTAAGAGATCAGACCGCGTTGCCCATCAGCGAACAGATGGCTTACAAGTGTAAAAATAGTTTCCAGCCATTGTAATGCTAAACTTGAATGACACTCCACCCTCGCCAAGGCAGAAGTGCCCTAATTAGGATCTGCTCCAAATGGGAACTCTTCATAGATGATCTCTTGCTGCATATTGTGGAGGTTCACCTTGTCATTTGCGTTAAATGCATTGATCACTCACAAGGCGTTCATAGTGGGGTACTCCAACATAAAGAAAACAAATTCAAACTTAAAAAAAAAAAAAATCTAACTACGTATCATGAAAATTCCAAAACTATTAAAACCCCGAAAATGAATCCGTTTGGCATCCCTAATGGCTAAACATGTGCAAACGTGTGGAAGGCCCCCGTGGTACAGCTCATGTGAATAGGAAAAAAGGAAGTTACGCTTAGTCATGATGAGATGCTAATCTTGGCACCAATGCAAGCCTTTTTTTTTTTAATCTACATGCCCTTCACTTCCTCCTTAAATGAAATGACCACCATGTCGGAATCTTAATGAAAACATTGTTTTTCACTCACTGACCAGCCCGGCATCGATTTGACCAGCACAGCCACTGGCAGCTCTGCATAATTTAATGCGTTATAGATTACATATTAGCATTTTAAATCGCAATCAGGACCGTAATAAATCGGATTACTTCAACATTGTTATATTATGAAACAACCTTTGTCTGATTGGCCCATGGTCCGTGTGTCCGTAAGTGTGTGCGTGTGCGTGTGCATGCGTGTGAGATGATAGACGAGTCTTCTCCCTGTTCTTGGCATCTTTACCCCGTGGACTTAACAGATCAATTTCAGCCTCCCTCCGCACATACATACGCTGGCATTGAGTACCGGTAGACTTAAATAGATCCATTCCATTGAGTCCATCAGGCTTGAGACGTTCTTATCATCATTTTACATCCTGATATGGATTATTAATCATTATGTAATATGAAATGTAACTTGACAGAGATGTTTGCTTGTAATGTCTGTGGTTACTGCAGAATACTGATAAGGTGAACACAACAAGACAACTACACTCCCATATGCTCAAGCCAAAAAAAAACAAAAAAAAACCCCAAAAAAACGATTGTTTTGTTTGACAGGAGAGCAAAATAACAATTCCTTTTTCAGTCTTGTGCTTTCAACAAACAGCCAGGTAAAATATTGATGCCGCGATTCGACCACGGAAATGTCAGAATGATTTTAGCAAAACTGAAAGGGGGAATTCTGCGAATCTATTATTGATGCCAATGGGGACGCTGTGTGGTTGAAAAGACAAAGTGTATATGAGTCCTGAATTTGTAGCCCTGTGACAGAAATGTATTGATCATAGAGTTGCACTTCTGCATTCAAATTTGAACAAGGCAATATCAGCAGTAGTAGTGGTTCAGTTGTCGCCACACCTACCAGTGCAAATAAAGAAAGTGAATTTAGACGTTTGTACCCAAATACCTTCAGCTGAAAAAATGCAAAGACTGAGTACTATGTTGTACTTAATTTCACCATGTGGGTTTTCCAAATTTTTTTGGACAGCGGTTAGAGCAGTGCCCAGGGACGCACTTCTGCATGAGTCCACAATCCCTTTTCATGCCGTAGTCATTGTATTCGAATGACAGTTGACAAGCGGCACGGCATGGTTTCAGCGGACACACCCACAGCATTTGAGAGCAGAGATAGCGACTTGGTTTTTCATAATTTTGAAGCCTCATTTTCTATACTTGCTGATTTATTTTAATCATGGTACGGTTATTCACAACAATTCTCTGTGGTCTGACAAACTGACATTTTTATTTGCACTTTGCAGGGTCTTTAAAGGAGAGATATCAGAATCAATGGTAGCCATTGGGAATGTCGTGATTTTCCCAAATGGCCACTCAACTCCCAGGCCGCTGTCCGCCCAAAAACAGCCATACTAAAGAATTCAAATTCACAGAAAAGAATTACATATGTGGCACTCGGGCACATTAACAAACACTCGTTTAAACCGAAACCTACGCAAAGTTAACTCAAAACACATCATTAAAGTAATTAAAGTAAGTGAGGTTTTGCTTCGCACAAGCTGTCACCAGTTTTGTCCCGAAAGTGTAATTAGTTTTGAAAGGTGCCCAGTAACTTGTACAGTACAAAAAAAATCTTCGACGTATACGACGATACCGTCATTTCCCCCCCACAGCTGCTTTGACTGCAGGCTTCTTAATCAATCTCATACTTCTTTAGCAGCATGGGTTCATTATTTCCCAGCATGCCTGTTTGCCCTCATGCCTGCAATATTGCTGCATGCTGGATTTCAATTTTGTGCCGCCATACTTGCATTTCAAGCCAAAAACGGTGATAGAAGAAAAATTTGCCTCCTGACTGGGTTAATCTGTTCAAAGTGTGAAAAAGCATCCTGGAACTGTAAATGTGTGGTAATTAGGCGAGGATATTGGGAGACGTGGGACTCTGGGAGGTCCCTAAGTGATTATTGTGGGCTTGCTGAAGCCAGGGAAACAGGAGGAGAGTGGGCTGACCAAAATACGCCCAGCAGCTCTCATTAAAAGTGCTGAAAGTTTTGGTATAATTATCCATCTTCAAATTGAATGGGGTGCGAGCTATTGCATTGACGAAAACATGAAAAGCAATTGCACGTGACTGTTTCCTCATCCCTACCTGCATTCCAGCTTCTCTATTTCGAAGTGCGGGTTAAAGTTGAGCACAATCCGCTGAGAACTTTCTGGCGCTGTGATGACCCAGCGGCAATTCTGATGGGGGGGATACTCCAGCGGGTAGCCGGGGGTGGTGATGTAGCCTGCGTCTGTGGCATCCAGGTAGCCTCCACATGCCTCAGAACCTGTGCCGGCAAAAGACAGGCCGAGGGGATTACACATACTTTCAGACAAAAGTGGGGGTTGGTTCCCTTTAAGGAAAATCCGGCATGCAAAGGAAATGAAAAATCTACCGCAGGCATCTTGAAAACACTATGGGTAGCCACACTGAAAAGATTTAAAAAATACAATGACAGAGTGAAGTCCTATATTTTTGGTAGTCATAATATTTCAAGAATAAGGTGTATAATGTCCAGAAAAATACATAAAAGAATTGCAAACTTGTAATGCTCAGGTCAACCATTGATTCAGAGTTCTGATACTGAGAACATTTTCTAAAAATTGCATTATTTTTCATATCTACCCTCTAATAGGAGGAGATGCGATCGACACAAAATGAGTGAGTATCACAGTGAACATTTTACAGAAACACCCCAAAAAAAAGCAAAAAAAAAATAATAATTCCACAGAAATTCCAGACATACTGCACTACAACAATCAATATTACTGGGGTTTTTTAAAATAGTTTTTTCTAATTTTAATAAAATTGCATATGGGGGCAGGGTGAGCATCACTGATAGCAAACCAACAACTTCACAAAAATATTTCCAAAAGAAAAAAAAAAGTGTTATTGCATCAAATGTAACCCAGCAAATCCCGATAACACGCCGTGTACAAAGCAGATCAGGACGACGATAAGGCCACCGGTGGCAGAGACAGGATATGGGCAACAAAGAAGTGAGCGTTTAAGTGGATGTGGTGTCAAAGATCGACGCAACATCATGATATACAAAGACCCCATTCACCACCGTCCTCGACCCCCCGCCCCACACACACACACACACACACACACACACACTCAAACACACAATGAATGGAGCATCCAGATGTCAGAGTTAGTGTCACTGAGTGGATCCTTCGCGTCAGCAGCCCTAAGTGTGTGTGTCCGCTCGTACTCAATGGCTCCCATTCAGTAGTCTGACATCTCCCATCATAAGTCACATCTTTAGGTGACAGCCGATGGCATAACATGCCGGCTGCACACAACTGGACTCAATTGCAACTTTGCTTCCTATTGTGTAGCAGAATGAGCAGCCTGCTTAATACACTCGACAGACTCTGTCGGCTCAAAGACTAACAAAGAGGCATGTTAAGCATCATGCAGGATATGAGTGTGATGTTTGTAAAAAGAGACATTCATTGTGGGAAATAGATTTTTAACCGCTTGCATGCAAATGAGGGTCTCCGAAGTGCTGCTCATCTATTAAGGGTGAAATTAAACAAGTGCAAGTGTTTTTTTTTTTTTTTTTTAAATCCATGCTACAATTGTCCAAGCCGAGAGGTAAGCGGAGCTGCAACGACATTTGCTAGATGCACATATGCCAACAAGCAGCGCATACTTCATTGCTTTATGTGAAGTTGTCAAATAAATACGATATGTAGATTTTAACAAATACGGGTATGTTGTGCAAAGTCTTGCTGGTTTGTCGGTTCTGTGATGGCACTAAAATTTTTTTATGACTGCACTGTGTGGGATGACTCAAACCGGTCAGCACAACATCATAAGTTTCACAACTATAAATAAACAGGAGCTGGAGAATGTGTATACGGCATTATCAGTGACAGTCATGGTTTTTAAAGAAATTATACGCTCAGGCCAACAGTCATCCGGGTTTTCATTCTGGCTCTTTATATACAACTACAGTGAACTCCAATTTATTGGGGGGATACATTTCGGACCCATGCGCAAATGGTGAAAATCTGCAATATACTGCATGTTATACATAGATAAAATATAGATTTTTTTTTTTTTACACTTCCAACATGGTTTGTACACATTTATGCACAGCCTCTCGAGTAATAAGAGTAAAAAGAGGTCACAGCTCAGCATGCTGCCGTTGCAGTGATTGATACTGGAACTGGTGCCTACCTCCAGCTGTCTGTAAACAATCACCGATCACCTCTGTGTGCCCCCCACCCTCCACCCCCTTACCCAATTCCATCTTTCATGCTCCTCCTTGAAATTTTCAGAGTCCACTTGTCGTGCTTGTCCTATCTGTTTCCAATCTCCCTGGTGACATATGGCAACACAGGAGTAGAGTTACAAGGCCAGTGAAACCCTGCCGGGCTTATCTCATCCCGGCACCATTTGGATTCGTGTTAAACCACCCGGAAACCTCACAGCAGCGGCAGCCAATCACCTCCTGTCAAACTGCACTCAGCGCTTACAGCATTAGGAACCTGCACAATCTAATGAGATCAAAAAGTCTGCCTTATTAGTATGAAGGCCTCAACATAACCCAACAACTCATAACCCAATAAGCATGTAAAAACCTTGTGCAATTTCTTGAGTTTGCAGGATCCTAAACCCCACCCAAAACTCACGGGTGACACTGTAAAGTCAGAAAAGAATACTGCCCTGGAGAGCGGTTTCACCAATCAAAACAAGGTTGGATGCACATTTAGGTCATAACAGGATGCTTGAAAAACTTTCAAAGACCCCTGCTCAAAGGTGAACAGGAAGTTAGGCATTTAGGGGTTCAATTACGGGGCTTATACATTGATAAAATCCTACCAGAGGATTTGGCCTAATGAGTCGCGAATCTGGGGGGCCTCAACGTGCTGAAAACTGCAACCATTTTCAATTCTGGTAAGGTATAGAGTCATCGGAAGTGTTAAAATCACTCAAAATTGAAGAAATCAAGGAGATCTATTTTTTTTTTTTTTTTTTTTTACATGAATGTGTGAGTTTTTATGGGTCCTGAACACAACCCCTTGAAACTCATTCCGCAGTGGCTCCTGGAAAGCTGCAAAAAATGAATAATAATAATTCTTGGACACCACTTTTAGAGACAAAGCCTGAAAAAGTCTCAAGGACCCATGCCTGAAATTTAAATGAAATCACAACCATTTTGATTAAGATTCAGCCGTTTTCGGCCAAATTCCAAGGATTGTATGTGAAAGGCAATTCATCCAAATGAGCCTCAATCTGAAGCAAGACAGATGGCCGACGCGAAATTACAAAGCTTCTTTGGCTACGCCACCAAATGTGGGCGGAGCACGGTGTCATCGTTTGATGGCTGCCTCAAGGATTCGCCATGAAAACAGTGGCGTGAGAGCCCCTTCACTGCCACTTGCAGCTTTTGTGTTGGATCTCATTAGATGGTGCATGTGTACCTAATCAAGTGGCCAGTGAATCCATATGCATGCAGTTTCCAGAAGTACAGATTTGCACGCTGCTGATTAGCATTCCACAAAAGTGCACGGTGACCTGCCAGCGTACCGATGCATGAGAACACAAAAGATGCTGAGTTAAGAGTTCATGTCAAGAATTATAAAGCAGGTAAAAGGGACACGATGAAAGAAAAAGTGCCAAGTTTGTGAAAGAGTGAGCCAGACACAGAGAATCGAAAAAAAGATCTCACAAATGAAAATCAAGACTGAACAGGTTTTGAACTGTTGATGATCACGTTATATTCATATTAACATTGGCGAGAAGAAGATGCCTTACAACTGATAAACATAGTCGACTTTACAGTGCAGAGGTCATAGGTTTGATTCCTGTGTGGTGTTTGCATGTCCTCCACCTGCCTGGGTGGGTTTTCTCTGGGTACTCGGGTTTCCTCCCACATTTCACAAACATCCACAGTAAGTTGATTGCTCACTCTAGTTAGTCCGTAGGTGTGATTGTGAGTGTGAATGGTTGTCTATGTGTGCCCTGCTATTGTCTGGCAACCAGTTCAGGGTGTACCCCACCTACTGCCCGAAGACAGCTGGGATAGCCTCCAGCACTAGTTAAAGAGATAAATGAACAAATCAAAAATGAATACATTTTCACTAACCCTTTTGTGTAACCATATTTGATAATGCTCGGTGGGCTGCATTAACTAACAGAGTCCATATCTCGCCCAGCCCTGATTTATGACTAACTTTACATTCAAGAATAAATACGATTATAATGGCAGTCACTGGATGCATTTTTTATTTTCATCAGATGTGTATAATTCTGCTGAATAGAATAAATAAATCCTATGACAGGAACAAGTGAGAGTTGAATCTGCATCTGAAAGTGTACAGAGGGGAACTGAGACTTCAACCACAATCGTCAACTTGCCAAACCTCCACTCAACCACTCATCCAAATGTCAAATATCTATTTTTTTCGTTTATATATTTTTTTAACGGATATTCCATCCAACGTTCGGTTTACGTGCTTGCATTACTGTGCACTGACTCCAACGTCATGCCCCTATAAAGGCATTGGAGGGACATTTACTGATGCTAATTAGGACCAGCTGGCCTATGCCTGCAATTTACAAGAAAATATATGTTCCATGAATACCACTTGCACATAGCAGAAGTTTTAAAACAGCAGACTTACGAGGAAAGTATGAACACAGCGGTAGACCACTGTCATTTAAATCCTATAATGTTAGATAATGGGATAACATAGTCAAAATAAATGGGACTCAAGCACGCTTTGTGCATGAGGTCCATTTAATGCACAGAGTTACTCAGCTACCATTCCATTTTCAAAGGAGCTTGTTGCCATGGTAAGTGTGAGTGATGACTTTGGGTGAGAATACGGTTGACCCTTGACTGGTCACCAGCCAATCACAAGGAAAGACACCAGGCCACCTGGTTTGTTTCTCGACAAAAGTCAAATTTGTTTCATAAAGCGCAACGTTTGGGACCCGAGGTAATGTGTCCCATTGAAATAAAAGTAATAAATACTAATCTGTTCCAGCCCCAGAATTAAGTTATGTTTACCTAGTTTTTATCGCAGTGCACGCAAAAAGAAATCACTCTCAAACCTCGTAGCCTTTTCATATAGTACAAAATAAGCTTTAGAAAATGTGTTACATTTTGGGGTCGCGGTAGCCATGGTTAACGTAAACAAGGCTGTGTAGTCGGAGCCAATGATGTGGCAAGATGTTGGGACTTTTGCGGCTATGCCAAGACTGTTTGTGAACCAGAAATAGAGCATGCATTAAGGTATCATTTCTTTGAAAATTGAGTTCATAAAC